ATACCTACAATCATGGATTGAATCAGAAGAGGATATCAATATATAGGGAAGCAGATTCACAAATTAAGTTACTTAAAGATTGAAAATGTCATCAGGCAGAAATAGGAAAGTGGCTTTGGAAAAAGAATTAGACTTCTCTTATATTTGAAACTCCTTCAGGGAAGGAGCTATTTCTTTGCAAGATAATTTAAAATGTAATTGGAAGCACAGTATATAGGATTTGGGAAGTGGTTTGGTTCCTAGAGTTCCTTTTTCTCTAGCACCCAGGAAAATCCATAGACATGAGCCTGGAAAATATTGAATTGATAGGAGTGATATCTATGTTTGTAATTGACATGAAATACACTGTTTTGTACAGATTTAGTTTTATGTGTTATGAAATAATCAAGGTATCCTCCAAATTATATAAATGTAAAATTGGTTTAAAGAGTTAAAGGGAAAAATAAGAACAAGTTATACACATTTGCAAGACTGTAGTTTGAAATTATGGTCAATGAAACTCTATAGATCTTCTGTAAAAAAGAGTATTTTCTATGTTCTGAACTGTAAGAGAATGGTTTTAAAACAAGTGTGTTCGGATCTTTGAAGCCCTTCTCTAAGGTGAATAAGTATAGGAGATAGTGGTGGGTGCGTGTCTTACAAATCACTACAGGAGTTGCTGTGATTTTCCACTTACAACCAACTACCTGGTGAAATTGGTGTGGGGAAATGGTTTTACATTTTACATTTATATAATTTAGAGGGTGCCTTTACTATTTCATAACACATAAAACTAAACCTGTGCAAAACCATGTATTCCACTTCAATTACAAACTTAGATATCACTCCTATCAATTCAATATTTTCCAGGCTCATGTCTATGGATTTTCCTGGGTGCTACAGAAAAAAGAACTCTATGATCCAAACCATTCCCAACTTCTACATACTGTACTTCTAGTTGTATTTTAAATTACCTTGAAAAAATCTTAAAAAACATCTACAAGGTCTCAGGCTAGCTAACCTATCTATCTGTTTTATTTCTTAATGCCTTACTATAGTTTAGTTCCTGAATATTCTCCCAAAGGTCCAAATTATTCAAGTCTTAGTCCCTATCTTGGTAATGTACTAGGAAATGATGGGTGGTAGGGCCTATTGCGAGGCTTTCGCCCACTGAGGCCAGGCTTATGAAGGGGTCTATGGGACCTGGTCTGTTCCTTGTTCTCTATTTTGCTGCCTGGGCACGAGGTGAGGAATTTTGCTCTATCACACGCTCCTACTGTCTTAGCCTATCATCCCTGTGATAAAATATCTAAGACGAGGAATAAAGAAAGACAAAAGATTTATTTTGGCTCCTGGCTTCAGAGGTTTCAGTTCATAGTCAGTTGGACCATTGCTTTTGGTTGTGTGGTGAAGCAGCCCATGGTGGTGGGAGCACTTGTTGCAGCAGAGTGGCTCACTTCATAGTAACCAGGAAACAAAAAGAGAGACAGGAAGGACCCAAGGTCCCAACATCCCCTTCCAGGGCAGCTGACATAACCCAGCTTAGTTCCAAATCAGCTGTACCTCCTGAAAGTTTCACCACTTCCAATGGCATCATAGGCTGGTGATCGACTGTTTAATGCAGGGACATTTGAGGGATGCTTTCAAGCCACACGTTTGCCCAGAAACAAGCTGACCAATGACTTATGGATTGCAACCTCTAACACTGCTAGTCAAAATCAACGTTTAGCTTTATAAGCTGATTATTTCAGACATGCATTATCGTAATGGAAAGCTGACTACATCCCTAAGAATATTACCAATATTATTCTTTTCTGACTCTTGGACTATCACTTGCAAGTGGTTGTTGATGAGAATGGTCACAATTATGGATAATAATCCTGGTTAGTAAAGTACTTTTAAACCTCAGAGTGCAAGAATGTTGTATTTTCTCAGAAAGGAGTTACTGAATACTTTGGAAATACAGTACATGTTATCTAATAGCAACTGGTGTTATATGTTCAAATTGGGATCACTATGGGGAGCTTCTGAAGAAGGAATTTATTATTGAAATGTTTATATACAAGCTAAAGAACTCGGTAATCATAAGTGGAAAGTAAGTTTTCTGTAGTGTTAACTCATTAATTTATTTAAAATATATCATATGTTTTTCTACTTGCTATTTAAAATCGTAGGTCCCAGGGTCTGAGAGACAAACACATTAACTACCCTTAAGGAACCCATGTGAAAGAGAAGGGAAAAATCTAAAAGAAATACCTGATTGCCTTTCAGTATCTTTTTTTTTTTACCTTTTCAAAAATTTTACTTTAAAGAGAAAAAAACCAATAGAAAACAATGATGCAGAATTTCAAAACATGATAATAGATTAACAATGATTAACACATTGCATATTGTTATCTTCAAACTAGTTGCTCAGATTACAAGATATAGGCATGAAAAATCAATCAAACAATATAAGCACAAAACATTCTTTACAATGAACTAGTAGAAATCAGACTTGCATGTGTAAACATTGTATTGTCTCCCTAGTATGAGAAACTGAAAGTGTAAACAAGATCCAAAGTGTACAATAGATATTGTGAAAGGAAAAGAAACTGCTCAAATGGAAAGAACAATTGGGATGAGGGAAAGGAGAGAAAACTGAAGGGGAAAGAAAATCTCTCTCTCTCTTTCTTCCTCTCTCTCTCTCTATATATACAAGATAGCTAACTTCCTTTGATTTTTATTCTGTGAGTGTCTTTGGGGGTTAAATAGGGTTCTCTTAAATAGGGTTCTCTCTTCCTCTCTCTCTCTATATATATACAAGATAGCTAACTTTCTTTGATGTTTATTCTGTGAGTGTCTTTGGGGGTTAAATAGGGGGTTAAATAGGTTAAATAGCTCACCATTAGATTTTGTTTCTTGATCCATACCACAATTTATGTCTTTTGAGTAAGGAATTGAGATCATTCACATTGAGAGTTACTAATGATAGGTATTGAATTATTCCTGTTATTGCCTTATTTTCCTGTTGCTGATTCCATCTTTCCCTTATATTTAATTACTCATCCTACCTGATGTGTTTACTCTACTAGACCTTCTGTCATTGTCTGCTTCACTATTTCTTTGTAGGATAACCTAGAGAATTTCCACAAATGCTGATTTGGGTGGTCATGAATTTCTTTTTATTTCTGTCTTGCCTAGGCTGGCCTCAAACCTGTGGCTATCTTCCTGCCTCAGCCTCTTGGAATGTTGGAATTACAGACATGTGCCACCACAACTGGCTTATGGGTCATGGATTTCTTTAGGTGCTCTTTATCATGGAAATATCTTATTTCTCCAACAATTTTGAAACATAGTTTTGCTGGGTTTACCATCCTGAGTTGGGAATTGGTTTCTTTCAGGGCTTAAAACACTCTACTCCATGTTCTCCCGGCCTTTTAGGTTTGCATTGCAAAGTCCGCTGTAATTCTAATGGGTTTACCATTGTTATGGTTTGTCTGTGTGTCCCCCCAATGCCTCATGCGGCCATGGGGAAGGCTTTTAGAGTTGATTGATTGTGGGTGTGAGAGCTACACCCACCCTGGGGTGGATAATTTGCATATGTAAGGGAGAGGAAAAGGGTGCTTGAGGCCATTCCTCCCCCATTCCGCCCTGGTGTGTGCTAGTTGCTTTTGCTGTGTTCTGCCACCCTGAGCTGTAGCCCTCTGCCTTGTGCCACTCTGCCTTATAATCTGCCAAGTACGGATTGAAACCTCCACAAACTGTAAGTGAAATAAACCTTTCCTTCCTTAATTTTGGGCATCAGGTATTTTGTCCCGGCAGTGAGAAAAAAGTAACCAAGACAACCATTGTAAGTGTTTTGCTGCTTTCTCTAACACTTTTAGCGCTCTGTTCTTGTATTGGTCTTCTGGATTTTGACTTCGACGTGTGATGGAGAGATTCTTTTCTGATCATGGCTATTTGGGGTTGTATATGTCTCACTTATCTGCATATTAAATTCTTTTGTATTACTTGGAAGGTTTTTTGCTATTATTTCAGTAAAATTTGTTATGGTATTTGTGCTGTCTTCCGATTTTTTCACTAATTCAATTAATCTTAAAATAGTCTCTGCATGATCCAGGAGCTGTGGAGTCCATTTTTCATGTTTTCTTGTTGTTTTTAAGGTATCTCTCCTTAGTCACCTTGTCTTCTAGTTCTCACACTGTCCTCACACAGGTCACTTTTGTTGCCCAGACTTTCCACAGAATGCTTAATGTCTTGAATTTCTATTTGGAATTTTAAGGATTATAATTCTTTTGTATGCTGATTATTCATGATTTGCATCATTTTGTTTAGCTCTGCTAGCTTTTTATTTGTGTCTTCTGTAGACTTGCATATCATTTTGTTTATTCGGTCCAGTATCTGTTTACTTATACTGTATATTCTGTGAGCTTGCACATACCTTTTTGGTTTGTTTGGTTATCTCCTCTGGTACCATTCTGAATAATTCAGCCATGTGACTTGATTTCCTCCCCTTTGATGACCCATGGATCAGTTCTGGGGGTGTTTGGAATTTTTGGATGCATTTTGTTAGGTTGTCTTCTCTTTTTTCTATTTTTGTTCACTTGTTTGTGTTGAGATTTATGTGTTGATTATAGTGGAAAGCTTTATTTTTAACAGGAAGAACACTTTAATTAATTCTTTTCAGTGGCATTCTTTGGGAGTTGCTAACTATTGGTCTTTGTCTCTGTTCCAAGTTCTAACCACCTCTCTTTACTAGGGATAGGAAGCTGTAGAATATTTGGGCCATAACCCAGTCCACTAAGAATGGCCCACCTTACTGTTAATGATGTCAGATCCAGATACTGGCACCCCTAGTAAACTAATAAATACTCATTTAGCTATATTACTAAATGAAAAGTGGTTTATCTTCGAGCTTAACATCTTCTTTGGTCAGTAAATACAAGGGTTCGGGCTAGGAGCACCTGTGACATCACTTGGCTCCAACATTCTGAGAGGCTCCGTTCCTATGGTGCTGTGGCCCTAACATTCCTCACCACTGAAGAAGCACTGTGCAGGGGCAGAGGCAGCTCACAGTCCTGTCTTGAACCCGCTCAGACACAGTGTGAAGATGCCTCAAAAGGAATGCGGAAGGAAGGTGAGCACTTTGAAAACCTCAGACCTCCAAGGAGGACACACTTTGAAGAGGGGCTGCCTTCCTCGGGAGAACACTTTGAAAGCCAGTGACCTCCTCAGATGAAGTTCAAAAGCAGGTGGGAATACCAAAGGGGAAGGCTTTGAAAATTGGAGACCCCAGGAACATATGGAGGGCCATCATGACCAACTTGGTGGAGGAGAGGAGGAACAAGCTTTACTTGGAGAAACTCCAGAAGAGTTTAAATATCCGGCCAGATTGAAGCCATGATATCCCTCCTTTTCCTTCAGCTGAGATGACACTGACCACGCTGCTCAGCTGGGTGGGTGCAGCACGGCTGTGAGGCAGTCACAGCACCGCACTTCGCCTTTCAGTATCTTATGAAACTTCAAAGAACTGTTCTCTCAAGCCAAAGATCTCACTTATGCTTTTGGTCTAAAAGGTAGTTGAATTTAACTGAACCTTGCACAAGACAATAGGATAGGTATGATTATGTCTGGCATTTTTCATTTTAATATTGCATATACTGTAGAACAAAGTAGTATATTTCAATAGTTTGAATGGGTTAATATTTTACTTTTATACACAGCAAATGGGCTCTAGCACAATGGAGGACTTCACTGAGTGTGATGAAAGCATTGAAAGAGAGGTTTCCCCAAAAGCTTAACTTTCCCTGCAGCTGGTAGATATGTCACAATGTCCAGTATGATGATTGATGTCTAAACGTGAATTAGCACTTCTCAAGACCATCAATGAGTTTCTGATTCAAGACTTCTGGGATAGGTCTAAGATTTTATGCTTTTACCTATTTTCCTAGTAATGCAGATATTGGCTGGCCCCATTTTGGGAATATAGGTGGTCCCTGTCCTCACCGAGTTTACAGACAGGTTTAGGAGACAGGTAAAGAAGCAGTTTGTAACAGCACACTCCAGTAAGTTCAAAACGAGTTGAAGATTGACTTGAGATTGCTTAGCATAATCAGTAATTAGATTTATACCAACTGGTTGCTTGGTATTTGTAGATGGGCAAAGTGAAGCAAACACTTGCTACGGTTATTGAGATAGTCTTTCCCCAAAGCTTGGCAGTATAATTGTTTTCCTGAGAAAGAAAAAGTGAAGCTGCTGCCTTAATTGCTTGCTTCTGCTGAGTGGTTTCATCTGCTAAATGCTTCCTTTAACAATTCACTTCTTTGTAGGTTTCAGCTCACACCATTTGGGAGCTACTGTGCCCCTCCAATATCATCAGGCAAATGGTAGTTGCATTTATATTTCTGAACAGTTATATGGAAGTATATTTATAAGTTTGAGTTTCATCTTTCTGCTGCAAATGTAATGAATTATGTCAGAGCCTAACAAAAGTCTTTTCCTTTTCTTTCCTGTTTTGAAAGGTTTATCTTCTGACCTAATTTAAGCAATATCAAGTGAGAGATTATTTTATTCAATGAAAAGAATGGGAAAAAATCTTAAACTTCTGAAGATAGATTTTGTTAGTACAAAGAAACTATGTGAATAGTCTGTAATCATTTTACTTGAATTATCACAGGGTAAAAAAATGTATTTCTTTCAAATTTTGCTTTAGAGAGAGATTGAAGAATAGTTTCAAAAAGATCCTTTAGATATCAGATATTTAGAATTATCCCAAGTAGAGAACGATGGTTTTCAAAAGCATATTTTGGAAAATAATGAATGTTCTTGCTTCATATGTCTGTCTTCTGAATCGCTGGAATATAATTTTCTTATTTCCTTAACTATTCTTTTCCTATCTTCATGGCCTTTTGCACTCTTGTATACTTTTATACTGACAAAGAAGTTTCTTACCACATAATGTCTCCAGACTATTACTTATGAGGTCTAATCCTATATTCTTATTTCCTTCTGACATACCCCAAGTTTTGATCCACTCTTCCAGTTTATGTTGCTGAGCCTCCGCTGTGATTTAGCCATTTTCACGCAGACACTGGAATAAAAGAAGACTTCCTAATCCTATTTTTGCATTTAAAAAAAGCAACTAACTTCCTTTCATTTTAAAATAATTTATTCTTAGTAATTAGAAGAGGACAAACATAGATCAAAAACCAAAAGTTGACAAAAAAGTTATAGAGTCAGAAGGCATCATGTCATCCTTGTAGCTGTATCTGGTTTTGTATTGTGAACTACATTTGTCCTTTAAAAGTCTCTTCCCTGACTCTGTGATCTCTCAGATTTTCTGATCCCCTACACTGCTGATTGCCTTGGGATGGTCTAAGAGGCATTTTTCACATAGGACACAATAGCAAGCTCTGCTTTGTTTAGCTGCCCTTCTTCTTGGCCTTTTCCTTTCTCCTAATGAAAACCTGATGAGTGTCTGCACTAGTTTTTCACTCCTTACATTTAGCTGGGTCACTACAGACTAGGTCAAATATTTTCCTACTAAGGCTGCTACATTTAACATCATAAAGAGCACCAACATTTGTTTTATATTCTGCTACCAAGGGCGCCCCCCCATTTATCTCACTAGGTTACAAAAAATAGATAAATTGAGTTCCACTGCACACTGCAGGTAATTTCCAGACCCTTGCCATCTGCTTCTCTGCTTTCTCAACTAGCTGGCAAATCAAAACCTTTGACAATCTCTTGCCCTTACGTGTGTCTTTGGAACTAACATTTATTGTAGATGGCAATCATTGGTTGCAAGGAACTGAATCCTGGTAAAGATTCTGTAAACAGAAAAGGAGATTTATTATAATGCTTTGGATAAATACTGTCAGATCTTAGGGGAGCTGCCCCGGAAACAATGCTTCTGCTGGAACCACGTTCATTCTTTCAGTACCCTTCAGGCAAAATGGTTTCCTTTGTATCTTTATTTATGAGTCTGATCTATTTTGCTCTCCATGATTCTAACTTGGTTTTGCTCTTTCACTTGGTTCCTCACAGCTCTTTGACTCCACATCTCAGTGTCTATTTAAATAAGTTGATAGGATGAATAGAAATTTCTGACCCTTCTGTTGTCATTTGTGGTATGACTACAAGGGTAAGACACACTTTGACTCGTTGAAAAGATGTCATTGCAACTATATATGTGTTGTCAGAACCACCACTACCAAAAGGTAGGATTAGCTTAACCATTTTTAAAAATCACTTAAACTAAAATCGTGCAGGTAGAGATTATCTGAAAAAAATTAGTTTAAAGCTATCTTGGTATAATAAGTAAGAAATATATGTTTCTAATATACAGCTACATATGCTTTGAGAATTACAACCTCTTTTTTTAGACCCATTCAATACCTAGTCTAGGAAGAAATTTGCATGTTAATAAATAAGGACAGGCACCTAAGTCAGGGCAGAATATCTGCCAACCAAAATAATAATCAATGACTATCAGTGATTTCAGGGAAGAGGGAAAAAAAACAAGCCTTTTAGCAAGCAATTTTTAAAGTGAGACTAAACTACAGCTTTACCTGGTGTGTGAAAAATTTATTAACAATCTGCAAATATCATTTTCTGTCCTCAGTTTTTATGAGTAAATTATTTAACTCCTCTCCTCACAAATAAAGTTAGGAAAGAATCAAATACAGAAGAAACCAGAAGAGGTATTACAGTATTTGGTAGGATGTTATAATACTAACTTTCTCAAGTTATATGCACAATGAATAATTTTTTTCTTTTAAATGCTTTATTTAAACCACAAATACACAATAAATACATTCTTTGTGAGGAGTTTTCACATGTGCATGTCTCATCTTAATTCTCTTTATTTCACTTTTTCCACCCTCACTATTTCCCTCCTTCCGCCCTTCACTTTCCTCATTTCCTCCTTCCATCCCTAAATCTTTTCTCATTATTTTCCTGTTTCTTATCATCTGTCTTTTATTTTGCTCTTTAAATTATCTATACTTTGGGTTTCTCATATAAGAGAAGCCTTGTGATAAACAATATGGTTTCAAGGTATACCTGTTTTCCTAAATAGGACTCAAACTTATCCTTCTTTATGGCTGAGAAGCACTCTATTGTGTGTATATATATCATTTTTTTTCTTGATCAACTCATCTGCTGGTGGACATATACATCACTCCCAGCACTTCCAAGATTTAGCTCCTGTGAGTTGTGTGTCTGCAGACAGAGGTGTGCGTGTGTCACTGTAATATGATGTCGTTCTCTTTTTGGAAGATATCCAAAAGAGTTATACCTGGGTCAAATGGAATTTCTACTTTTTTTGAGGGATCTCTTTACTGATTCTCATAATGGTTTTACCAGTTTTTTTCCCCATCCACAATGTAGAAGAGTTCCTTTTTCCTTACAACCCCATGGAGAATTTGTTGTTTTTTTGAGTTCTCAATGATAGTTTTCTGATCTTCCAATTTTTTGTTTGTTTCTCATTTACTACTCTGTTTAAAATAAAAAAGAGCAAATTGCTGCAAGTATGTTTAGTAAACATTAGATACTGTTATTGAAATCGTAAAAGAGCCTTGAGTTTCTCCCTCAAACTTTTCCTCTTCAGGTGTAAAGGGACTGGATCCTTTACTGTCTCTCTCTTCAATTCGTACCACACGTCCCTTCACAAGAACCAAGACTCTCTGACACTGTTGCTATGGTATCAGAAGCAGGACCAGATGCTGCCACTCATAATGCAAATATAGTCCCTTCTCTAGCAAACCAGTGGCAAACACTTTCTGAAAAATGAAAAAAAACATATATATTATATGATTAAATGAAATAGCTTGTATGTGAAATTATATTTGCATGAGAGGAAATTTTAATGTATACAGTGGAGTTTAAGCCCTAGTGTGATGTCAGGATAAAGTAAAGGGTGAGGACATGCTATTTTCACACTAAAATATCTGTCCATTTTAACTTTTTCAGCTATGTTTTCTGTAGAAAACAGTCAACTTAGCAGCATCAATATGTTCAATGGAAAAGAATTCCAGAACATGCTTCTCCTTTAATCTGGATAAATCTGAATAGACAGCAACATACACCATGAAATACTTAATCTATAGTACCAAGGAGAACAAGGAAACTTCCTGGTATCTGGTGGGATGAGCTTGGACACAGCATGAAAGATCAATGAATTCAGTTTTCCAAAGGAGAGTTGTCCAGTTCTGAGACCAAGATCTGCCCATAACATCCCTTGCTCATTCTA